GAGCAGCGCAGGTTTCCTGTTCAGCCCTCACTGGCCGCTGTTTCCTTCCAGCACCTGGTCGATCTTCTGCACCTTCTAACTGGGCTCCGTGACGCTCATGATCTTCAAGTGTAGTGAGTGCGGCCTGGTCTCCCCACGTGTTTTCTTTTTCCCTGCCCCTGTTCTCGCTCCACGAGGTGTGAGTGCCTGCCATCGGCCTCTGCTTCAGGTTCCTTCTGACAAACCTGAAACACGGCTGTTTCAGGATGAACTTGAACTTGAAGCTGGTGAAGAAGCCCCCTGCTGGTCCTTCGGAGGAAAGGCTGGGCTGGCTTATCCTTCGGAGGTTGCCCAGTGGATGGAGTTTCCTTTGGACACAGCCTGGGGCAAATTGGTTCTTTCTGTGGCTCTGCCACTACTTCTGATGTGTGGGTGGAAGAAGTGGCCAAAGGGACGCACTTGGGAGTCTGTGCTGGGCTGGGGACACATCCCAGCTTCCCTCTGTGGGGCACAGCCCTGAGGCCTCTGTGAGCTGCCCTGCTTGGATCCCCATGCAGGCGTGGCTTTGTCAGGGAGACTGGGGTGTGGAGGGGTGCAGAGGCCGTGGAGCCCTTGACCTTGGCACAGTTAGGCCACCACTAAACCGTGAGCTTGAGAGGACAAGCTTGAGGGCCAGTGCCAGAATTCAGAGGATGGCAAAGGGCAAGTACAGAAAGCCCTTGGGATTTTGCTGAGATGCTGTATAGGCAAATGAGCCAATCATGGAAAAGATCCAGACTTTAACGACAGATAGTAACTATTGAATAACAACCTTCAGGAGGATGCTTTGTTACCTGCAGACTGAAAAGGTCATTGATTTTGCAGCTCATCACTAAAGGACTTCTAGTCACTGATTCTAAATTAACTGATTACTGTTTGTATAACAATTGTTATGTATGACAGAGTAACAATCACACTGTGATGGTTAATTTTATGTGTCAACTTGACTGGCCCGATTACACATTATTTCATTATTTCTTTGTGTGTCTCTGGGGGTGTTTCTGGATGAGATTAGCAGTTGAATCAGTGGACTCAGTAAAGTAGATCCCCCTCCCCAATGCAGGTGGGCATCATCCTATCCACTGAGGGCCTGAATAGAACAAAAGTCAGAGGAAGGAGGAATTTCCTTCCTTGTTTCTTGCTTCCCTGATTGAGCTGGGACATCCCATCTCACCTTCTCCTGCCCTTGGACTGGGATTCACACCATCAGCTCCCCTGATTGTCAGGCCATTGGGTTTAAGCTGGAACGACATCACCAGCTTTCCTGGGTTCCCAGCTGCCAGAGAGCAGATTGTGGCACATCTCAGGCTCCATAATTCACGTCTGTTATCTCCTACTGGTTCTACTTCTCTGGAGAACTCTAATACACACACACAGAGCAAAGATTAGGATGCCACAGAGGGAAAGAAGAATCTGGTGCTCAATTCTCTTATATTCTTCTATTGACAAACTTTCTTGTTGCTAACTTTCTTTCATCAAAACATTGTGGCTACTGACATAACTTATCACCAAGTCTCTTAAATCATTCTTACATCATGGCAAGCATATAAATCTAACCACAGTCCAATTCTAGAATGAATATAAAAATAACGTTTTATATTCAAAGATCAAGTTGAGGTTCTACACGGTAAAATAACGGTAACAGCTATTATTAAAAAGTAAACTGATTAGAATAGGATACAAAATATATGAGTTAAAGTGATAACTTGAAGACTATGCTTGGGAAATATGGGGAAAAAATGTTATATGGAAAGAAAATGAGAACACAAAATTTAATCTATATTATTTAACAATGTAAGTGCACGCTTAAATGTGAAACAAATTATAAGGAAACACTGAAAGGAAATGTGTTTTGAAGTAACTGGGTCATGGGACAATTTTTTTTCTTTTTACTTTTTTGTTGCAATGTTTGTGTGATACAAATGGGAGAGAAATCACCTTTGAAATGTAGTCATTCATTTTAGCAACATTTTTGTGGAAATTATATTGATTAGTCTTAAAATAGAACAGAAGCACTAAAATCATAGAGGCTTAATTTTTTTTTTTTTTTTTCGGTACGCGGCCCTCTCACTGTCGTGGCCTCTCCCGTTGCGGAGCACAGGCTCCGGACGCGCAGGCTCAGCGGCCATGGCTCACGGGCCCAGCTGCTCCGCGGCACGTGGGATCCTCCCGGACCGGGGCACGAACCCGCGTCCCCTGCATCGACAGGCGGACGCTCAACCACTGCGCCACCAGGGAAGCCCGAGGCTTAATTTTTATGAACCTAATTCCTAATTCAGATTGTCACTAATCAATTCCATTTAATAAGCAGTTTGTATGTGCCAGGCATTGTACTAAGCATTTTGAGTAGATTATTTCTTCTAATCCTCACAACAGGTACTATTTTTATCACTTCATAGACAGGGTTAATTAGTTTGCTTTAGGGTCATGTGACTAGTTAGTGATGAACTTAAGATCTCGACCTTAGCTGGTCTTGGTCCAGAGCCATGGATGTAGTGGCTGCGAATTTTCATAGAGCAAAATATAAGCAGAGAAGATGCTCAGGCTACAAGTCTGAAACCTTAGGGGTACAAAAACTTAGACATATTTTTTTCCCATTACTCTAGCATTTCAATCAGACACGTGTTTCTATTTGTCTTATAGCTTAAAAGCCAGATCTGAGAAGACTTTATTTTTATTTTATTATTTTTTTAGATTTAAAAATATTTATCAGATTACTTTTAAAACATAAGATTCACAAATATTTCATTATTCTAAAATTATAATTACCTTCCACTTTGGATAATTTCTCATCTTTTTACACAAAAATTTCTACTGAGAGCTTTAAAACCTTATAATTGGTGGCATTACTTAAAATGTGATTTACATTCATTATTTATCTTTGAAATGATACTTTATCATTTCTTAAATCAGCGTGGGTTCATTGAATGTTTGAGAGGCACTCTGTAGGACTAAGTCATTAGCCTATAATTTTACAGTAGATGAAGTACTATGTTTTCATTACTTTGAAAAAAAATAATGACTTTGCAGTTGACTCTTACATTTAACATTTTAATCTCAGCTTTGCCACCATTAAGTATAACTGTTTGCACTGACCACATAAGAAGCCAAAAAATTACTGGGTCCAAGGTTAATCTAATTCAATTTAAATCTAACAAAGATAACCATAATTAGCAATTTACCACAACAAAAGCCAGAGTTATTACTTTCAAAACTGTATCGATTTGGGAGTAATTAGCCTTAAAATTTAAAACATTATTCTGGGGGTGCTGAAGCTCTTTCAAGAGTTTAATAGTTTCAAGAGTTGAGTGATTTATGAAGTCTAAGCTATTACCTAACACAGGTAACACTGTGGTTGGACCTACTGTCTGAATCTTTATAAATAGACCTTTTTTTCACTTGATCTGCCTTAGGATCTAGGGTCACAGCCTTTATCAGTGGTAGTATAAAGGCTAGTCCCCACCAAAAATTTTAAGTATTTTAAAAAATAAATTTATTTTATTTATTTTTATTTTTTGGCTGTGTTGGGTCTTCGTTGCTGCACATGGGCTTTCTCTAATTGCAGTGAGTGGGGACTACTCTTTGTTGCGGTGTGCGGGCTTCTCATTGCGGTAGCTTCTCTTGTTGCAGACTACGGGCCCTAGGCATGCAAGCTTCAGTAGTTGCAGCATGCGGGCTCAGTAGTTGTGGCTCGCGGGCTCTAGAGTGCAGGCTCAGTAGTTGTGGCACACGGGCTTAGTTGCTCCACGGCACGTGGGATATTCCCAGACCAGGGCTCGAACCCATGTCCCCTGCATTGGCAGGCAGATTCTTAACCACTGTGCCACAAAGGAAGCCCCAAAATTTTAAGTATTTATTAAAAAATCACAAGACACGAGTTTCTTGCCTTCCAATGCCCAAAACGCCCATCTTGTTTCTAATGAATAAGGCGACAGACATGATAGAAACAGGGCAGAGATGAATCAGGACAGTCAGTGACATTTCAAGAACAGAGGAATTCTGTTGGGCAACGAGGTCAGGCTGCCCAAAACTGTTTGTGATCTGAGACTAGTTTAGAACTGCATGTTTGCAACTCATCATGACGATTTCTTACTATTCATTCTATGAAACAAAAGCCTGTTGTTACACTCAAACTCGTAAATTCATTCTTTTTAATTTTTCTAATGGTGTTTTAAAAAAAAAAATTGCACTTGACCCCGTCTAACCTGTAATACTCTGACCACACGTATAGCTTTCCGTTTTGTTTACGGCCAGTCGGGTACTACGTCGCTGATGAAAACTGAAAACACAGAAACTAGACCAAAGAATGGGAAACAAAACGAGCAGTGAAGAAGAGATTGAGAAAAGGAGGAAGATATTTAGAAGAGGAATAAAAGTGCTAAGTTAGACTGGAAAGGGAAAAGAAAGGGGGTAGGGAGGGAGGAAGCTCACTGGGTCAGAAGCAACCTAAAGTTTCGGTCTTGGTTCTCGACAAGGGTAAATCAACAGATTCAGACCCCTGACCTTGAAAGTGTTCTTCAGCGGACTTACAATTGCCCATGACTTCCCAGCGACTCCATTCGTAACCATTAAAGTCTCCATTGGCTGGAGTAGCCACAGCAGACATCTGGTGGAGTTTTCTGAACCGCTGTCGCAACTCAAGATAGCCTTTATTCTCCTCTTTCCGGGGCTCAAGATCTCCTACATTGGTGCCTGTAAACACGTGGTTTCCTCAATCCACCTCCCCATCCCCCATTTATCTTGATTTCCACGGTGCCGGGGATTCGGCAGAGGCTCGGTGATGGGGGAACTGGGTCAGAATTTTGCGTCCCTTAGGCAAGACAAAAACAGAAAAGTGAGGGGCTCAGACTAACAGGCACTGAAAGGTAGAAATTGGGTTAGAAAAGAGCGGCGTCAGGTGGCACCGCCAGGCTCCGGAGTCTAACCGCGGTACAATGCTCCCCAGACACGGCAACCGGGAGAGCAGGTGGCCGGTTACCAGGCAACCTGAAGTCTCGCGAGACACACAATGCGCCTGCGCACTGCCGCTGGAGGGCCTTATTCAGAGCCTCCGACCCGCTCCTAAACTCAGGGTTTTTAGAGAAACCTTCCGTCGCTCTGTCGCGACGCGCTGGGCCGACTTTCCCGTTTGGAAATGGCCCGATGCAGAAGAATGAAACGTGTTCTCTGAGCCGTTCCTCCTCCCCTTCCCCCGCCCCACCGCGTCGGAAGGCGGGGCCCGGGAGGGCGTGGGCTCTGCGTACGCGCAGCGCGGCCCACGTGGAACCGGCGCAGGGACGACCGTGAGTGGGGGTCTGCGCTGGGGTCTGAGATCCGGAGGGGCCGCTGGTGGGGATCGAGCCTGGGACTGGGCCGGGTGCGCGCAAGGTCTCCCAGGCTCCCCGTCCCTGGGGCCGCCCCCGCCCGTACCGGCGTGTTTTCCTGCGTCCCGGCCTTGGCTCACGCTCCGCTCTCTGCCTGGAGTTGAGCGTCTGTCGGGTACGAGAAATAGGTAAAGCCCCACCCTGGCCCTTCTGTACTCCGCGGTCTAGAAGTGGAGGCGGACCAGAAAATGACTCCAGTCGCGTGTGTTAAGTAGTGAAGTAAGTAGGCACTCGATAGAGAGGCGGCAGACCATAGGAAGAGAGTAACTCGGGGGTCGGCTACCAGATCCAGAAACTCGGAGTCCTCCCTGAGTCCTTCTTCTGCTTTACCCCGAGTTCATCACTGAGTCGGGCGGATTGCACCTCTTAAATGTTTCAAGTAGCATGCATTTCTGTCCATCCCCTCTGCGGCGACTCTAGCCAAGGCCACCGTCATTTACCAGGACTACTCTGGAGCCTCTTTGCTGCTTTCGGTCGTGGCAAAGGACTCCTCCTGGCCCGAATCGCCAAAGATCTTTCTGTGACGCCTTTCCAGCCACGCCACTCCTCTGCTTTGAACGTTACAACCGCTTCCCACTGTAGGGTTTGCAAGTGTATTCACCATCTGGTCCTTCCTCGCCTTTCCCGCTCTCTCCGCTCTCTCTAGCATCTCTGCCCCAGTGACACTGACATCATTTCCTTTAATGCAGTTCCCTGGGATGCTCTTCCGAATAGGTACTCCCTTTGGTGTCACGTGTGGGTTAAAAGGTCACTTCCTCCGGGAGGCCCTTCCTGACCCCCTCAACTGATCAGGATCCTGTAGGTCCCTGACCTTAATGTGCATCACATCTTATATTTTACTTGTGGGTAAGTCTCCCACATAGATTCTAAGCCCAATGAGTTCAGTGGCTGTTTTTGCTTTAATTCATCATCTTTCTGGCTTGGTGCATTGTGGATAATCCACAAATACTTGTTCAAGTAAGAAAGGTGGTGGTAGGGCTGAGGGTGGGAATAGTTCCCCAGGCAGAGGGAATGTGCGTAAAGCCATGGAGGGGAAGAACTGGTGACCTCATTAAACAGTGTGTGGTTCCATGGTGGGGTGTAAGGAGGTAGGCTGGTGGTGACATGGGGGCCCTTGGATGTCACTCCAGTGAGTGTGCACTTGATCTCACGGGCAGCAGAGGCCTCCAAAGGCACCCCAGCAAGGCCTTCCCGATTTTCTCCTCCAAAGCTGTTACTTGTTCCACTTTGGTTTTGGATTCTATCCCGTGAGACTCTACTTATCTGAACCACTTGGCTCTTGTCTCCCTCGCCTAGATTCTGAAGACAGGAGGAGCTAATGCCCAGAGCAGCACGTAACTGTAAGTACTTACTCCCTGTTTGAACGCTGAGGCACATGAACTGCAGTTTGTGGTCTGGCAGAGCTCCGATAGATCCTCATATTTGCTCCTTGGTCGTTTATTTCCCTTTTCCTGACCATCTTCAACCTGGTGCCAGCCTCTGCCAGTCACTTCCTTGGATTTGGATGAGCTGCCTCCTGCTTCGCACGGGGATGATGGGGATGGCGGGGGGGGGGGGGGGTCTGCACCGGAAGGAAGCAGCTTAGGGGGCAGACGCCGAGTCTCTAGCAGTGGGCAACGCTGACACGAACGAGGTCTGAGCTCACACCCCAGAGAGCTGAGTTTTGGTTTTCCGTGAGAAGGTGATGTAGGAGGAACGTCTGAGGCCGGTGGAGGTCAGGAGACCGTCTCAGGCCTTTCCACTGTGGAAAGGCCCCCTGTCCTACACCAGTGGTGCCCAATTCCGGTTCTGTATCACATTAAGCTGGGCAGCCTTTTGCCAAGTACAGGTACCCTGCTGTATTCCGCAGGATTCCGATTCAGCAGACCTGGGGAACGGACCAACCATCTCTGTCTTTTGTAAAGTCACAGATTATTTTTTAGGTGCAGCCAGGATTGAAAGAGCATAAAATTTGGATTTGGGAAACCAGCTGTGACTCTGGCATGGTACTTAACCTGAGTCTGTTTCCTCCTCCACACACAGGGCCATCACGCAGGAATCGGGTGAGAACCAATTAATTCTTGGAGAACGTGCCTTATGACACACTCCACGGGACACCCGCTCCTCAGCAGCAGCAGCAGCCGGGCTCTTAGGGGGGTGTTTGATTGGAGATTTCATTTATTTTCATCCTGCCAGGGGCGCTTAGGGGAGCGGGGAGCAGGTGTGCATGGGATGAATGACCTGGAATGAGAAAATCTGGTTACCTGAAAACAGGAACAGTTCCAAAACCAGACTTCTCCAGAGCTGGCTTGTTTAACTTCCTTCAATTCTGCAACTTGGGTCCCTGTGGTTCCCGGCTGAGCCCAGGAAGAAAACTGAGGGAAGAGAGAGGAATATGCAGTTGCCTCTGGGCAGGACAAACAGGACATGCTCCTCTGAACGGTGGTTTATAACATTTCCCCAGCAAGAATCCCTGTTACTATTTTGCCTTAATGAATTAATATCTTTAAATTTCATTACGATATTTCCCTAGATTTCATCACATTGTCAGCCAGAGGAACGGCCAGCTTGGACTTATCAGGGGAAGGGGGAATCTGTGTATCGTGTTTTAGGACAGACAGACAAGAAACTTAGGGTCCAGGGAGGGAAGGAGACTTACAAAAGGGCACAGAATGAAAGTATCATTTGGGTTTTTAGTCATGTGCATACATTATGGTCCCAGTTCTTAAAAAAAAACACAGCTGGTTAATTATGAATGGCAGAGGCTTCCAGGGCCCTTAGAGACTGTGTGCTGAGGCAGGCGGACTCGGGGACTCACAGAGGTGGTGGTGGGAATTTGTTCAAGGCTGAAACCCGGTACCCGTGACTCAAGAGTTGGAGGTGCTCAGTGAATATTTGCTGAATGGATGGACGGAAGCCTAAGTAGAGGGCAATACAGAAAATGGTAACAAATCTATCAGACTAATACCAGAGGTCCTGAAGAGGATAAACAATTATGAACAAGTAGCAACATGGAACATTTTAAAGGAAATAAATACATTTCAGTATGATCACAGTAACGCAAAACATTCATAAATTGCATGTATATGAATGAAGACCGAATCACAGGAAAAAATGGGGAAAACTTAAAAGAGAAGTTAGATGTATGGTCGCACATATATATGTACATGTATATATGTCCTATATAAGTAGGCTTGCTTTAGCCTTTCCAAAATCAGAAAGGGCACAGCCAAGATATCCTTAAGGTGTGCATGTCTAGTTAACACGTGTTTTCCTTTGTCGTTTTGCTCCGTGAAGGGTCTTCAGAATGGCCGCAGCCCCCCAGGCACCAGGGAGGGGCTCTGTGCGGAAGACCAGACCTTTACCTGTGAAGACATCATTGAACAACCCGTATACCATCCGCTGGGGTGCCCTGGACAGGGAGGATATGCACTTCATACTACAGACCCTGGAGGACAGGATTAAATCTCTCGGGCTTCAGAAGACTGAGGACAGGAAGAGAAAGAGAAAGCAGCCCGCTTTGAAAACACAAAGCGGAGACACGTGCAGCATGGATGTGGACACTGGTGAGGGTCTGAAGGAGGAAAAGCCAGAAGGTGAGCCCCAGGCATCAGGGTGGACCCCTGCCGACGTCAGAAAGCAGCTTGCCATCGGCATCAACGAGGTCACCAGAGCCTTGGAGAGGAACGAGCTGCTCTTGGTCTTGGCGTGCAAGTCGGCCAAGCCGGCCATCGTCACCGCGCACCTGGTGCCGCTGAGCGCCAGCAGAGGTGTCCCTGCCTGCCAGGTGCCCCGGCTCAGCGAGAGGCTCGCACCCGCCATGGGCTTGACGTGCATCCTGGCCTTGGGGTTCAAAAGAAACACCGCTGCGTTTGCAGAGGAAGTGAAGGCCATCATCCCCAGAGTCCCCCGTCTGGACGTGCCGTGGCTCCGAGACACACTTGAAGACCCCGGGGAGAACCCGGAGATGGAGTCTTTGGAAAGCCAAGACAAAGAGATTTTGGACACTTCCTTCGAAGACCTCCCTAAATCCAAGAGAAAGCTTGCTGAGGGTCAGCAGGCTGCAGTGTTACAACCCCTGAAAATAAAGAAACTGATTCCAAACCCCAATAAGATAAGGAAGCCACCCAAATGTAAAAAAACGGCTTCAAAGTAACCTTGTATAAACCTGTCACTTCATACAGTTGTAAAACGCCACCTCGTAGAGAAGCCGCGAATAAAATGACTTCTACATATATTCTTGGGACACTGTTTAGTATCATTCCTTCCAAATGTGTAAGATTCTCTGACAGTAGAATACAGATAGGCTGAAGTTTAGGGACACTAAGTGCAGAGAATGTTCAGCAGTATGAGTATCAAAACAAAAGTTTATTGAAACTAATGTCCATGCTTGTATAATTTCCCTTTTTAAATGGCTGGCACAATGCTTGAGAGCAAGGACATCTGTATCCTGCAACACTGGACATCTTTCTGTCCAAACTTGGCAAATAGGCCACACAGACACGGTTCTAGTTGGCGGGGGAGATGAAACTGGATGGCAGGTGCACCATCAGTTGTAAAGGAAAGATGGTAAATGCCAAGCAATACACTGTCCTCAGAAACAATACATTATTATTTCTTACTGTCAGTTTGCCTTTCTTTGTAGGCAGGCCTAAGCGTGGGCTTGGGAGAAAGGCTAAACATTTATCAAAATTGCCAGATAAGGTATTCTGACTAGGTAAGAATTCACTCCTTTACACGGTTAACTTACCTCCTTGGGACTTTAGCATGTATCCAAAGTACGATGGTAATTAGGTGAAATAAAGCAGGAAGAGAATAAAAAAATAACCGGAGGAGCTTGGATGCTCAGAGGTGGGTCTGCCATGACAGGGGTCACTCGTGTTAGTATATGGAACAGGATCGGTGCTCTATGTTAAAGCATCCGCTGTTAACAGCATGTTTGGAAAAGGTGCTTTCTGTAATTTACGGGGAAGGTACTGGCTTGCCAAAGTTTATTTTCAGCCTAAATTCTGGTTGATCTGTGGATTACGCCCCCTCCGTTTAAATTTACTGAATGCCATCTTGACCAAAAAATGGTGGGGTGTGTGGGCAAGGGTACGTCATGGACCAGAGCATTTCCATTACTGACAAAGGACATGGGGTGGTGTGGGTGTTTTGAATCTGTAAGACACTGTGTATTGCACTGAAATTTAGTTCTAACGGCTACTTTATAAACACAAGCAGCTGTACTGATTTTCTACTTTAAAATGCTCATTGGTAACATGCATAAATTATAAAGAGGCATTATAAAGTGGCAAATGTGCTAATAATTTATAAATTACTGTATTTAAAAATTACTGAGTAAAAGAACATGAACTCTATTAACTGCAATTATGTAAGTGAATAGAGGAACAATGCCACAGTTTTGTCATGGGGTGAGCCCGTGACACAATTTCTGAGGGACAATCCTGCAATTATTCGAAAACCTACTTCATGTTAAGACTGCCATAAAAATGAGCGGAACGTAATTCCCAACTGGACCCTCGACTCTGGGTTATGTTAAAAATCTTGTTTACTTAATTCTGGTGTTTCAGTGAATTGGTTCACTTTTGCTTCTGCAGGCATCCTCCTCACGTTAGGAAAAAAAAGGTAACGCAATTGGGTTTGAATCATCCTATAGGAGAAGTCTTCCCTTGCGTCTTCGAAGACAAGGAAAACTGTGGTGTCCTAAATTAAGGACGACTTCGGAGCCCACGCATGCCCCCTAGTGGAGGTCCCAGGGTGCCACAGCTGTGGGGTGGCCTTCAGGATGACGGGAAGCTGCAGAAAGAGGCTTTCTGATTTTTAGAGGAAATCAGAGGCAATAGAACTTTTTCCCTAAAGGGCCAGGTTTAGGCCTTTGGGTCCACAGTCTCTGTCGGAACAACTCAACCCTGCCTGCCACGTACAGGCAACACATGAATGAATGAGGACTTGTTCCCATAAACTTTATTTATGGATGCTGAAATCTGAATTTCCTGTAATTTTTATGTGTCACAAAACTTTTTTTTTTTCCTCCTCAACCATTCAAAAATGTAAACACCATTCTTAGCTCGTGGGCTGTACAAAAACAGGCGATGTGCTGAGTTTAGCTCATGGGCCACAGTGTGCTAGCTCCTGCCTGGTTTTTATAAGGTATGATTGTGTCCTTTGACTACTTATAACATGAAGGAAGGGCATCCTGTTGTCGAAGGTAATTAGATTTTTCTGGACTGAACGGCCTAGGCACTGGTACATAAAGGCAGGAAGAAGTATCTACTTTGTGGTATTTGAGTCGAGGCCATTTTAGGTGGCCTTGTCCAGCATCTTTTTCCCCTTGGGCTATTGGTGATATATACATTATCTATGTACACCGAGAAACTTGGATTTTCAAATCCTAGATAAAAACACCATCAGTAACAAAACCACAAGACTTATTTACAAATAAGACATCTTCCTAGAGCACGACAGCTTTCATGATAAATTAGAGTCAGGATAAAGAAATATGTGCAATTCTGCATAAGTAATAAAAAACATTCAAATTATCAGTGTCCTGATGGCACTCATAAACTCCACTGGGCATGTCTTCTGACTTGAGGGCTTTGATTTTTCTTTTCCTCACGTGTCCTGGCTGTTGCTGAGAAGAAGAGAGTCTCTGCAGGAGCAGAACAGTCTAGTTTGTCAGGGTTGTGTGCTCTTCAGAGAACACAATGTTTGCCCCAAACCTTGCTTTGGAACCAATCCACGAACCTGCTGAAGATCAAAGCACCCATTTGTGTGTTTATTGATTTGGCAACTTTGCTTCTAGAGAAATAGTCAACCAGTATATTTTTATCTCACTCTTCACTTTAACACCTACCGCTCATCACTGCGTTACAGAAATGCTGGCTCCATAGGTGTTCCCGATGAGATCATGTGCAGTGACATAAGTAAACCCTTTCCAAGTGGCTCCCTCATTCTGCTACATGGACCCACAGACCCTCACTTAACAAACAGAAAGGCAGCAGTTCATCTCCACACAACGGCAAAGATTTTCCTACACGATCCTGTGATTTCTGTTCAATCCATAGAAAAGCGGTCCATTTTTCTAGAGAGGGACAAATACCTTCTCTTCATTGAGAGACAGTCAGAAGGTTGAAAATGAGAGGAATGTGCTCTTTGTATCCTCCTTCCATCCCTCCTAAAAATGGGTCAACAGCGAAAAAAAGGATGAATGTTAACATTCTAGCTAGAAATGTGTTCTATTGGTCACCAATCGATGTTTTTCCATCTTTTCTGCTACTGACACTTCGATGTCACTTAGGTTGTGCTTTTATTCTTTGGACTGGCAGTTCCAGGAATCATTAACTAGGATATTAACAAATGATGACATCAGAGTTCTAGAAATAGAAATATCCATCTACTGTAATACGAGTCCAACCTAAAGGGAGGGAAGAAATGGAATAGCAAAAACAAGTGAGCAAGAAAAATTATAATGTAGTACAATAGATCTATATTTTTAAAAAGCTACTAAAGAAAAAAAACTCTCAACAATCCGAAGAGAAGCAAATATGGGATTTTCTAGGTAAATTTATCAAGTTTACAAAGGTTTATCAACTTCACTTACCTTTTCGGACTCTGTCCCTGGACACCTCCAGTTGTACAAGTAATACTGTAAATTGCCATCGCCTATGCCAAACTTGAGTTTTTCCAGGAATGTCTTATTTTCCATCAAATCTAGCGCATTGAATACATCAAATCCTTTCTGTCAATGTAAAAAAAAATTTTTAATTTTAAAGTTTCAAAGGATTAGAGTGTTTTGTATATTATGTATTTCAGTATAACATTTCATTCCCCTACTAATAGCTTGAATTGATAATGCATTTATAATAAGGTTTAATGTCTGCAATATATAGTATGGGTTAGGAATTCAGTTCAAAACTGTCTTATTAAACTAGCAAGCAGTGAATCTGATGGAGTCAGCAAGATTATCCAGAAATGCTGAATTGAGAAGTGCAGTCTGATGGCTGACAAAAAAGAATCTATTAAAATTTCAGGAAATATTTTGTCCCTGTTTTTTTTTTTTAATTTATTTTATTTATTTATTTAATTTTTGGCTGCGTTGGGTCTTCATTGCTGTGTGCAGGCTTTACTCTAGTTGGGTCAAGTGGGGGCTACTCTTTTTTTTTTTTTTTGTGGTATGCGGGCCTCTCACTGTTGTGGCCTCTCCCATTGCGGAGCACAGGCTCCGGACGCGCAGGCTCAGCGGCCATGGTTCACGGGCACAGCTACTCCATGGCATGTGGGATCTTCCCGGACCCGGGCACGAACCTGTGTCCCCCGCATCGGCAGGCGGACTCTCAACCACTGCGCCACCAGGGAAGCCCTTGTCCCTGTTTTTGAAGCAAACAGCTGCCTAGATGGCTCTATCACCAGAACTGTTAGTTACTGGCCTTTCTACGTTCTGACTTACCTGAACCTACGCCAAGAAATCAAAGCTGTAAAGACTTTAAATCGTGTATCTGTCTTGGGCTGATAATGGGAAATAAAATTTAGTAACATTTCAATAGTAAAAACAGAATTAAAAAAAAAAGCTTAGATAATACTATGCAAAATGTGATATAGATGGAGCACCTACATTTCTATTTCTCAGGGGTTTTACCTTAAATAACTTATTACTGGCCTTTTTGGGGAGGTAGTTGAAAATGAGCTACAAGATCAAAGAAGCAAACGAGAATGCTGATTTGGGGATCCACTTATAATAGATTAAAAGAAATGTTTCCAATGATCAAATACAAGAAGACTACAAGGAAGACACTTTTGAAGGGTTGCTCCCAATTTCTCGTGAACAATATTTATCTTCTCACTCAGCAATTACATCAAAATGTCCCCGTCAGCTGATTTCAATTTCTTTTTAAAGAAAAATGTTTATTTATAGCAAGAATTTAACAATTATCCTTACTACCACACTGAGGAAATAGAAAAATAATGCAAATATAGTAAGGAACATTTTGAATTTAATTCTTTTCATTTTAAATCCTTTTAATAATAATAATTCCAATAGTTAAAATTAAATTTCTTTAATTTTAAAATTCAGAGACTATTTATTTGAATCAAAAAACCTACTGTTGCCAATTATTCACTGCAACACACTCATATTTTCCCCATACAGACAGACCTTGTTTTATTGAGTTTCACAGATTCTGGGTTTTTTACAGATTGAAGGTCTATGGCAACCCTGCATCAAGCAAGTCTATCAGAGTCATTTTTCCAATAGCATTTGCTCACTTTGTGTCTCTGTGTTCCATTTTGGTAATTCTTGTAATATTTCAAACTTTTTCATTATTGTATTTGTTATGGTGATCTGTGATCTCTGATATGACTACAACTCACTGAAGGCTCAGATGATGGTTAGCATTTTTTTTAGCAATAAAGTATTTTAAATTAAGGTCTGTATATTGTTTAAATACGCTAGTGCACACTTAACAGACTACACTATAGTGTAAAGATAACTTTTATATGCACTGGGAACCAAAACACTCGTGTGGCTCTCGCTTTATTGCAACGCTTTCTTTACTGCAGTGATCTGGAAGCATCTGGAACCAAACCCACAATATCTCCAAGGTATGCCTGTATCATGGGATCACATTAGTTTTCTTATATTCCTTATATTATGAATTTCGTGTATCTTTATATAAGGTTTACAAGTTTCTAATTTGTACAAAATGTCTTTTTGGTTAAGTTACAACAGAATTAATGATGAAAATAGCCATTAAATTAAAAAAAAAAACCTCTTATCAAAATTCTTCCTTTGACTGTCAACAGTAAGAAGTATCTCAAACAAATCCCCCCACCATGTGGAAGAAAATACAAGATGTTTTATATACTCCAATATACATATTTGAGACACACACGGGATGACAAGGAGTGAGTTGCGTACCAGCTTGGCAATGATGAGCGCGTCGTTCATGAGGTCCAGCAGCGGCGTCTCTGTGTGGATATTGTAGAAGGAGTAGGCGGCTTTGAGGCTCTTGTGGGCGGGGTGATGCATGACTGTGGAGGGGAGCGTGTAGAAGCTCAGGAAGTCAGTTAGTTTACCACTGGAGTTCTAAAGAACAAAGGCAATGTCAGGTAAACATCTCCTTGAACAAGTTTCATCCAGGCATCTCAGCTCACATCTTGATCTCTGACTTGCACCACAGCTTTCCGTTAGAATGAAAAGCAACAGCTCATGCTCCGCTCTCCAAGTCTGATGTGCAGCCCCTTACCATATGCTGGGCAGAGGCCAAGGAAGAGCGTGGAGCTGTGCCTCAGCCTAAGTGCTCGTCAGCAACTGGCATCAAGTTCTTAAGAAGTAGAATGTTCTAAAAGGAACGCTCTCTGGTTGACTAATGAGTCTCTCTAGACTTATGGGACAGTGATAAAAGTAAATTCATTGTTTTTGCAGGAATAAGAGCACCAAGGATTAGAAGGCTACCTTTTCCAACTAAAGGATACTGTATAATAATCTTCTTGGCACAAGGCAGGAATTGTATCAGCTTAAAGTGAAGTTGGATAGGATTTGGAAGCTGTTTTTTTAGAAGCTTGTAAAAAGGCACTGGTACTGCACCAAAATATATGTGTGTGAATAACTGAGAAAATCTGAAGCTATCAAAAATAAAAAGTGATGTGAAAGATGGTGTTTGTTTTGTCATCACAGGTACACTTTCAATACAAGAAATTAGTCAATACTGTCTGCATTGTTTCTATTACCTGCAGTGACCTATGCAAGTCTGCATATAATTCAAACCATGATGTATTTGAAGTATACAGCTGTGGAGGCTAGACCACATATGCCATTGCTAATATTTGTTTTAGCAGAAAATTCCAGAGGATGTATTATCTGGTTTTTGAGTGCTTCTGATTCATTAAACCTTTTTTTCAGACATTATGAAATTAAAGATGTTAAGCAAAAGTGAGAGATGACTTAAAGACCTAAGTTTTCAGCTTTATTAAGGATTTTCAACTTGAAAAACACCATAGCAGAAATTAGAGGAAAAAAAAAATCACTGGATGGGCTCAATAGCAGAGTGGAGATGACAGAGGATAGAATCACTGAACTTGAATTTACCCAATCTGAAACAACAGAGAGAAAACAGAGTGAAAAAAAAAAAAAAAAAGAATTAAGCCTCAGGGATCTGTGGGGCAGTAACAAGATTCACCATTCATATCATTGGAGTCCCAGAGGGAAAGAAGAAAATGTGGGGCTGAAAGAGACAATGGCTGAAAACTTCCCAAATTTGGCAAAACGGACATAGTAGATTCAAGAAGCCATGTGAACTCTAACATGATAAACCCAAAGAAGTCCACACCAAGACACAGCATAATGAAATTTCCAAAAACTAAAGACAGAGAGAGATCTTGAAAGTAGCCACAGAGAAACAACACATTACCTATGGGTAAATACTAATTCAAATGACAGCAGACTGCTCACCTGAAACCAGAGAGGCCAGAAGCAAGTGGCACAAGAGCTGAAAGAAAAGAACCATCCACCATGAATTCTGTATCTGGCGAAACTTTCTTCGGGAAAGAAGGGGAAATAAGCACATTCTCAGACAAATGAAAACTAAAAGAATTTGTTGCTAGCAGACATACCTTTAAGACTGGACGAAGTACATTCTTCAAATAGAAAGGAAATCATAAAAGAAAGCATCATGGAGCATCAGAAAGGAAGGAAGGAAGAAGGAAGAGAAATCTGGGTACATACTTTGAGCTATGCTTCTTCTCATGAGTTTTATAAATGACTCGATGATTGAAACAAAAATTATGACACCATCTGATACTCAAGACAGTGATATTTAAACAATGAGACTGTACAGCAGAAACTAACACAACATGGTAAAGCAATTTTACTCTAATAAAGATGTGAAAAAAAATGATGAAAAAGTAAAGAGAAGTAAAGTCACTTGAAGTGGTACAACATGGATACCAGAAGACTGTGATAAGTCACATCTGTATATTGTAATACCCAGAGCAACCATCATGAGACCTACACAGATATACTCAAATGCACTATAAATAAATCAAGACATCCAAAAATGTTCAAGGAACAGGAAGGCAAGGAAACAGAAACAGAGGGACGGAAACCAGAAGTAACAAACAGAAAACATGTATTATAATATAGAAGACTTAAGCTCTAACATATCAATAATCATCAAATGTAAATGGCCAGAAAACACCAATCAAAAGATTCTGGCAGAGTGGATAAGGAAACATGGCCCAAATATATACTGTTTACAAGAAATTCACTTCAAATTCAATGACATAGATGGGTTGAAAGTAAAAGGACTGAAACAGATATACCATGCAAACATGAATTTTAAAAAAGGAGTGGCTATATACATACACCTCAGAGATACTGTGGGTTTGGTTCCAGACCCCTCAATAAAGCAAATATTGCAATAAAGCGAGTCACATGAATTTTTTTGTTTTCCCAGTTTATATGAAACTTTTGTTCACACTATACTGTAGTCTGTTAAGTATGCAATAGCATTATGCCTAGAAAACAATGTACATACCTTAATTTAAAAACCCTTTATTGCTAAAAAATGCTAACCGTCATTTGAACTTTCAGCGAGTAGAAGTAGTAACATCAAAGATCACCATAACAAATCTAACCATAATGAAAAAGTTTGAAATATTGCAAGAATTACCAAAATGTGATACAGAGAAACAAAGTGAGAAAACGCTGTTGGAAAAAATGGCACCAACAGACTTGCTGGACACAGGGTTACCACAAACTTTCGATTTGTAAAAAATGCAGTATCTGCTTAGTACAATAAAGCGACGTGCAATACAACGAGGTCTGCCTGTATTAATATACAAGGAAGTAGACTTCAGAGCAAAGAGAACTACTGAAGACAAAGAGGGGTATTACATGATGATAAAATGATCAATCCACTAGAAACTCATGCAGGTCCAATATGTATAAGTACCAAACAAGACCCTCCAGAGACATCAAGAAAAACTGACAGAACTGAAGGGGAAAAAGACAAATCCACAGTTATAGTTGGGGACTTCCATACCCCTCTCATTAACTGACAGAACTACCAGAATTAAATAAGGGCTATGACTACAGGTTTTGTAGCCATTAAAAGGGAATACTATGAACAACTTTATTCTTACAAATTTGACAATTTAGAAGAAGCAGACCAATTCTTCTAAACTGTATTAAAACTCAAACAAGATGAACAGTCCTATAATCATAAAAGAAAGTGAATTCATTATTTCAACACAAAAGAATTCTCTAAGGTCAGATGGTTTCAACTGGAGAATTCTAGCAAACATTTAAGGAATTAACACCAATTCTATATAATTTCTTCTAGAAAACAGAAGAGGAGGTCATACTTCCCAACTCATCTTATGAGGCCAGTAGTATCTTGATACCAAAACCAAACAAAGACAGTACAAAAAGAGAAACTGCAGACCAATATCTCTCATGAACTCAGCAAATACTCAACAAAATATCAGCACTCCAAATCCAATAATGTATAAAAATTATATACCATAACCAAGTGGATAATTTTTCTAGGTATGCAAGGGTGGTCAAACATTTGAAAATCAATAAATGAACAGACTGAAGAAGAAAAATCATGATTGTATGAATTGAAGCAGAAAAAGCACTGGACAAAATCCAACACCCATTTATAATAAGAACTCTCAACAAGTTGGGAATTTTCTCAAATCAGTAAGGAGCTTCCATGAAAAACCTACAGCTAACATCACGGAATAAGATTCATGGGGTAAGACTGAATGCTTTTCCCCTAATAACAGGAACAAGGCAAGGATGTTGATGTTTACCACTCTTATTCAATAAAGTACTAGAATATCTAGCCCCTGCAATAAGGCAAGATAAAGGAAGAAAAGGCATACACATGGGAAGGGAAGAAATAAAACTGACCCTATTTGTAGATGACACAATTGTCTATGTGGAAATCCCAAGAAATCTCCAAGTAAATTCCTGGAACTAATAAGTGATTTCAGCAAGCCTGCAGGATATAAGAGCAACAAAGAAAAACCAATTACATTTCTACATACTAAAAATGAACATGTGGAAACCAAAATTAAAAACACAATACCATTTATAATCACTCCAAGGAAATGAAGTATTTAGGTAAACACTTTAAAAAATATATACAGGATCTGGATGCTGAAAATTACAGAATGGTGACAAAATAAATTTTAGAAGACCTAAATAAATGGAGACATACCATGTTCATGGATTGGAAAACTTGTTAATTCTCCCTAAATTAATCTACAGAGTTAATGTAATTCTTATCAAAATCCCAGCAAGGTCTTTTGTAGATAACGACAAGCTTATTCTAAAATTTACATGCAAAGGCAACGGAACTAGATTAGCTAAAATAATCTTGACAAAGAAGAATAAAGTGGGAGGAATCACTCTACCTGGTATCAAGGCTTACTATACAATTACAGTAATTAAGACAATGTGGTATTGGTGAGGAAATAGACACAGAGATCAATGGAACAGAATAGAGAACCCAGAAATGGACCACAATACAAAGTATCAGTATTCAGGCTATAGAAAACTTTGACAGGGAATTCCCTGGTGGTCCAGTGTTTAAGACCTGGTGCTCTCACTTCCAGGGGCCCAGGTTCTATCCCTGGTTGGGGAACTAAGATCCTGCAAGCTGCACCGCATGGCCAAAAAACAAACAAACCCCCCAAAAAAACCTTTTACAAATCAAGAAGACAAGGGTTGAGTGAAGTGGTTGAATTATGCCATCTTGAACAAAGGCAGTTCAGTTCCAACCAGTTTTGCAAAAGCAAAACAATATTAAACTTTGGGACACATCCCTCTCAGATGAGATCATCCAAACTGGCCTTTTCAAAGAAAAGCAATTAGTCACACAGACAACAATAGAGCAGATCAGAACCCTGATTCCCCATGATTAAGTAGTAAAAGTGTGCTCTTCTGCCAGGAATGGAAGCTGTAAGAACAGCTGGTTCTGAAAGGGTGAGCAGGAAGCTGGTTCAGAAGCACTGAGTCAGGCGGGCAGGAAGGGAATGGACACTCTATGATCCTTCTGGAAAATGGACTCAGTTGCACAGTGTTCTCATACTTCTCTGTACTATCTTATCACCTTCTCTTTACCTCCACTACAAAAGTGTCAATGATGTGCTCCTGGGGGAGGAACCAGTGGGCTACTTCCTCTTCATCCATCACCGGGGCTAGATGAAACTGCTTCAGGTAACTGTTGGTTAGTTCTTGAACAGCTTTGATATCTCTTGGTTCCATTGGCCTCAAGCCCGAAGTTTTTGTAACCTGTTGGAGTGAAAACAAAACCAGTTGGGACAGGCTTCCCTGGTGGCACAGTGGTTAAGAATCCGCCTGCCAATGCAGGGGACACGGGTTCGAGCCCTGGTCCAGGAATATCCCACATGCTGCAGAGCAACTAAGCCCGTACGCCACAACTACTGAGCCTGTGCTCTAGAGCCCGTGAGACACAACTACTGAGCCTGTGCGCCACAACTACTGAAGTCCACGTGCCTACAGCCTGTGCTCCGCAACAAGAGAAGCCACCGCAATGAGAAGCCCGCGCACAGCAACGAAGAGTAGCCCTTGCTCGCCGCCACTAGAGAAAGCCTACTTGCAGCAATGAAGACCCAACACAGCCAAAGAAATAAAATAAAATAAAATAAATTTATTAAAAGAAAAAAAGTTGGGAGGTTTAAATAAGAGGAGTAAACAAACTTGGCACCAAAGCATGATCCCCAGACCAGCAATATTAGCATCCCATGGGAGCTTGTCAGAACTGCAGAATCTTGGGCCCACCACAGACCTACCAAGTCAGGATGTGCAGTTTCACAAGATCCCCTGGTGATTCGTACACACATAAAGCTTGAGAACCACTAGTTTAGAACATAAGCTACACGACATGTTCTATCCTATCTTTGTGTACCAGGTCTTTGGTCAGTGTTGCCCATGACCCAGACAAAACCAACGGGAACACTCCAAGTTCATGTATATCCCCATGCCAAGAACTTTAACAGCCTACATGATAGGGCAGAACAATCTCAGCATGTGTTCTGGAGGATCACGCTTTTAAGACTGCCACGTCTGACATTTTGAAAACACAGTTGAAAATGGCTGAGAAACTTTTTGTCCAATAGCCTGTGGAAAAAATGTAGCTCTTCTGTTCTCGTGAGCAATAAAAATGAAAGAAAAGTAAAAATCATATCGGTCAGTATGGGAAGGGAAGCATTTTAATTGCCAAGAATGAATGGCTGGTTGCCAAGTAGTGGCCCTGGTCTCTCATGCCATCTTTTGATTAAAAGGTGATCAGAATAGGCATCTGAATCCATCATTCCAGAACATCAAAATTTTTACATTAGGCCATGGGAATAACAAACCCTCAAGGTCAGGACAAGTCCCCATTTGGATTTGTTCAAGTCTTATCCTTAAAAGAGCTCCAGACAGCAACTATAGGAAGTGTACAGACACCAGGATACTTGACAACAGAAGTGAGAAAGGTCACTACATTTGCTTGTTTGTACAAAGAAAAAACTTAATACAAATACAACTGCATTTTTCCAGTTAACTCGATATTTTTTTTCTTGAAGAAATATTGGATAAATTTTAAGTGACAAATAACTTGTATATAAATAGTGCTATTCCATCTTTTCTGTCCTAAATTACCATTAAGTACTTTTAGAATTCTTTTTTAATTGAAGTATAGTTGATTTATAATGTGCCAATCTCTGTTGTACAGCAAAGTGACTCAGTTATACATACATATACATTCTTTTTTTATATTCTTTTCCATTATGATTTATCACAGGATATTGAATATAGTTCCCTGTGCTGTACATTAGGACCTTGTTGTTTATCTAAGTACTTTAAAATTAAAAACTGCCTTTAAAATTACATCATCACAATTCCTGCATGCCCCCAGACTAGTGGTAGGGGAGAAGAGCAAGGTGGAAAATGGGTTTTCATCTTGAGTGTCGGCTCTGATGGATGTTAGTAGTTGTGCTGAGGTTTCTAACGTTCTGTGACAAGAGCTGCTGATTGATTACTGATTCCCTTTGGGAGGAGATGGGCTTTGTGTTTTCAGACTCAGCAGTCCTTAGCTGAGTATTTACTATGTGCCACTCAGTTATGATTTATGGAATCTACAAAGATGCAGTAATGCAGCTAAAATAGTTTAATATTCTAAACTGAGAGAATTTAAGTCCTTGACATTTAATAGAGAACTCATACTTTTAGTATTTCTGTGGATCTCAAAGCCAAAGGACCCGAAATCTCCAGGTCCCAGGTTCCACCCAAGGCTTAACCCTTGGTTAATAATGGCCTGAATAGGTGTTGAATGAATGAATGAATTCCTAGGTTTTTAGCACAATCATTTACCCAATAAGGTGAGGTGAAGGCTGCAGACACGGAAAACAGTCACTGTCAGCTCTGAAGAGATGATATTTCTAAAGCCTGGCATTTAAGTACAAGCCAGGAGTGAAACTGTATTTTTCTTTTGTTTCCCTAAGCCAATTTTAGTTATTCGGAGCATTTCTACACTGCAATTCATGGGAAGAGGAAACCTATGTGATTGCTAAATGGTGTTTACATGAAATAAATATACATTTCTAAATGCTGGTAGGAAGGCCAAAGCCATACCAAATGTATACTGCAGTCATTTGAAAAGATTATTTTTTACTATGAGGATGCCCTTGATACATTTAAAACAGCCTTTCTCAACATCAGATTCTTTCTTTTGTTACTGGTTCAGTAAGAATCAATAATATCAAGCAATGAGATTAACTAATGAAAGCAACAGGATACATCTTCTCTGTTCATAGAGAACATTCAGAAATGAAGACTGAAGCTGGCCAACTCCTTTTTGGAGCAAAATATGCTTCTGCAGCACAGTTCTTATTCACTGAATTTTCATACTGTGTAATCACTAAAATCAACATCCTTTTTGCCCAGAAGACACCCTTAAAGCAGCAGTTCTCAAATATTTTGTTCTGGGACTTTGTTATGCTCTTAAAAATTATTCAGTACTCCCAAAGAGCTTTGCCTATGTGGGTTATATTTATCCGTATTTATCATATTAGAAACTAAATTAGAAATTTAAAAAAAAAGAATATGTAAGCTCAATTCCATATAGCCTCTGGAAGACTGCACAGTGCACTTGTAAGACAATGAAATGAAAGATGCAAATTATACTTTTGTGTTTTATAAAAAACTGACCTCACAGGCCCCCCAAAGGTTTCTGGGAACCTCAAGGGATCCCTGGACCACACTTTGAGAACTGCTACCTCAGGTCTCTGAAGGTCAGAAAAATGGGTAATAGAATTTAGATAAGGAAGACTCAGTGAAAACAGTATTGTTTGGCAAACCGGCAGGGAGAAAACACATAAACTTGGTAATTTCCAAGCATTTCAAACAAGTTTTTACAGGAGCATTAAAGCAGGAGAGAACATCAGACTATATCCAGCTATAAAAACATATAAGGTCCTAGAAACAGGGGAAGAATATTTACTTTTGCTGATTAACAGTGGCTTATGTGTCTCAGAGCCTAAACTTGTTTCTTTCTAACATCAGAAAGTCACATCCTCTCCAAGAAATCTACAGAAGCACGAAATAAATTTTAAAATATAAAATTATATTTTAGGGAGTTCCCTGGTGGCCTAGTGGTTAGGATTCTGGGCTTTCACTACTGTGGCCCAGGTTCGATCCCTGGTCAGGGAACTGAGATCCTGCAAGCTGCGCAGCACGGCCAAAAAAAAAAAAGAATCATATTTTATATAATAGCTGTTGTCTTCAGGAAGAGGTGGGGGAAATGCTATACCTAGATAAAAATCTCAGCTTTGGCATAATCTGAAAGAATCAAGTGGCAATGTTTTCTGAGACTTCAATAAAAAGCAGAAAACCTTCCAGTAACTGAGAAAATCTTAACTTACATAAACAAACTCTATTTCTGAATCAGATACTTTCCCACCATCCAACTAATATGCATTACTTGTTGGACTCTATATGCACTGAAATCTGTGTAAAATCTGCTTGTAAGTACATAAGGAAACAAAGCTCAGAGCTCTATTAAAAAACAGAAGCAGTGCCGTTCTCTGTCAAACTATGTGGTGTGAACTGATTTGGAGCTAAGATTCCATAGTAGAGATGTCAGCAATGATTATGATTATTTATTTGATTTAAGAAGGAGCAGTAGGACATTAAACACTAAAAAAAAATCGACAGTTCCTAAATCGAGAACACCTGAGTCTTAGCATGTCTTCCCAGGCGTAAAGTTCTTGCAACACAATGTAAAGACACTGGGAGATTAACCTGATTCCCGCTTTTTATCTGCTTCAAATTCCTTCACCTTGAAGAGCACCGACCAAAAAAAAAAAAAAAAACCCAGCGTGGTTTGGAAATTCTCAACACCAAATTAAAAACAAACCAACACTGAAAGGGTAGGAAACTGTGTTCCTCTTGGGAAAACCATAGTCTCGCAGGTAACAGTAGCTAATGGCATGGGCCCTGGGGATGGTTCTGTCCTGATTGGAAGACTCTGGGCAAATCAATCTGGTGTCTCAATGTCCTCTTCTGTGATTGGGGACAGTGGCCCGCCCTCTCTGATCGGTGTAGATAATAAATGCGATAATGGATGTTAACTGTCTGGCATAATGCTGGCTGCAATCAATGTTGACTTTTATAGTCAGACGTCCACAGCAAAGATGTAAAGCCGGCATGGTAAGCAGAAACGGGCCTGGCAAATCAGAAAACGAGATAGAATCAAAGAGCAAAAGCTGTATTCAGTAAGGTTCTTGTCTTTACGCTTCAAGGTACAAAAATGTTCTTAAATGATGCAGTTGCCAGCAGGGGCATCGCCCACCTGGGCGCTCGGGAGAGAAGGAGGTGGTCTGGTGTATGCTGCCTCGTCCAGCTTCCAACTCAGGAGCTGACACCATGGTGGCTGCTGGAAGCACCTTCCAATTTTCCAGTGTCTCTACTTGCATCTCTTCTATCTTCTCTCTCTTTTTTTTTTTTAAATTAATTTACTCTTTAGTTTTCTTTCCTTCCCTATGACTTAAAAGGAGGAAGGGAGGCTGGAACACACCAATGAGAGGTGTTTGGACCTTGACACTCATCCCTTCCTGCCTCAACCTGGTCTCTAATGGCGGCACAGTGAGACGTCTGGTTGGACTGGGCCTTGGTGCCCCCAAGACAGTTGTGTTAGAGGTGAAGGTGGAGGCAAAGGGACCTCACAGGAGAAACACGGACGTCTAGGGCCTGCCTGCCAAGTCCTCCACTTATTAGTGACAGGCCCTGGTCTAAGCATCAACCTTCACAAGCCTCGGTCTTTGCATCTGTACGATGGGGATAAGAATACTGACTTCAAAAGGTGGTTGGAAGAATATACTGTACAATATACGTGACAGCACTTTATAAAATTCAACTTATTAGGGAAGAAAAAAGGCAATCACCATAGCAACATGGCCAGAAGAGGACTGCTCCACCAAGGAAACTAGGTTAACCACAACCAAGATGCCAAGGTCTGGTTTCACCACCAATGTCCGCCCGACCAGCAATTTATCACCAACTTGTCAAAACTTTGTTACCTATGAGTTGATGGATGCTTGTACAAAAATATGGAGGCTGATGGAAAAAGTCAAGTCAAAACTAACTTTCAGTACCTCTAATTCTAATCATCCTGAATAAACCAATGACAGCTACTAAAATTCCTTATTCTTCATTCTATGTTAGGCAACTATGTGTAAGGGGGCACTTTCCTTACCCACAAGCTAGACAGATTTAGGCTCAAGAAACTTAAATCTGGGGAGACCAAAGTAGAACAGCATTCGCCCCTAGTGAAAAAAGGAGGCACGCCTCCAGTTCTTATTTCAACTCGCATATGGCAAAGTATTTGACAATTTGCAAGGAGGATGCTGAGAATCAATGGTGTCCTGTCTTAGCTGTGCACTGTGCCTCTCTTGTGCCTCTTTATTTCTCATGGCCACTTGCGCCTCTACATGACTCTGTCCCGCCCAGTGGCTCTGGGTCTCGGCCACTAGCAGAAATTATTTCTAGCTGATCAGTAAATTACGATGGTCATGATCATGGTGTGACCCCTCAGAGCAGTTTCCTGCATCTCCATTTCAGTGCACATGTCTTCATAAACTTACCTTCAATTCTGTCACCCCAACTTGAGGGGGCCTGGTCCTTCTTCCCCAGGACACATGGACCCTCCTTCATTATGTCACCAGTGCTTTTCATTTATCTCTGTTCTGATCTACGTTCCCCCCTCTGTCCTTGACCTCACAGATAGGCAGTGAGTTCATTAGTTCAAGCCCCACTGTCTGCAACTACAGCTTAGGCAGAAGGGAGACAGTGCCTTCCAGGCCCTCTACCAGGTGATGAAGCCCCGGAATGACGACCCTGACATCTCCAACACCTGGTTTCCTTCACCTCCACTTTTCTCCTTATGAAATTCTGCCTGAGTCAGCAATTAGTTGATTCTGGTCTGTCATCAGAAAAAAGACATCAATTCCTGCAGCCACTGATCACATGCATTTGGTAAACACACAACCGGCCCAAGACAAAAGGCGCTAGAGTTGGCTGCACCTTCCACAGGTGAAGTCCTCTCCTTCTTTGGGAGGAACATGGCTATATTGCACAAGAATCCCTCAATCGAGTTAAAATGTCTACTACAACCCAAAAGAAAGAATAGCTCTGACGAAATCAAAACTTTACACAAAAGATCTCATCTTTGGACAGATTCCACGATGGCCCCAGTGCTGCCTGCCCTCCTGGAGTTCATGTCCCCGCCATCCACTTGTCTCGAGTGTGGGTGGGGGCCTGTGACTTGCTTATAACCAATGACATACAGCAACAGTGATTCCACTTTAATTGATTATGCAGGGTTCTAACTTCCATCTTGCTAGCAGATGCTCTCTGTAGGCTCTCCTCGCTGGGTTCGATGAAGCAAGCCGCTGTGCTGTAAGCTAAGCTATAGAGAACCCCAGCCGACCAGGAGCTGAGGCAGCCTCAGGCCGACGGCCAGCAAGGAACTGAGGACCCCAGGCCAACTGCCCACAGAGAACTCAAGGCTGCCAACAGCCATGTGAGCGTGGAAGTGGATCCATCCCCGGTCAAGTTTTCAGAGGAGGCCCCGACCCTGGCTGACACCTTGATGACAGCTTCATGAGAAACCCTGAAGCAAAGGCCTCAGCTAAGCAGTGCCTTGATTCCTGACCCACAGAACCCAAGAGATAGCACATGTGTTGGTCTGAACTTCTACATTTGTGGTAATTTGTTATGTAGCGATAGATAATTCATTCACCATCTGAGCCCTGAATAAAGCTAAGACTGATAAGCACGTTTAAATTTCCACTTACTAAGAGACAGCTTTTCACACTGGGAATTTACTAGTTTAAAAATATGCTAATTTAATGCGACATTATTTCCTCTCCCCGGGTTTCTTCTTTAAACCTTATTCCTTAGTTCCATGTGTTAAGATGTCATCAGAAGGCTGAACTTTTCTTTCCTCTTCCTAAATAGAATATAAAGCCTCAAAATTTCAAAACTTACATGTCTGGAATTCAAGCCCTTCCAACCCCAAGCTGAAGAACTTTTAAAAAGCCTTAAAAAAAAAAACCCACCTCCTTTTTTCTGGCCCCAGAGTTCTATGCAGTCTTTTTAGCTGCATATTCACATCCTCAGACCCATGAGCCAGTTTTTAGCTTCCTGCAAATAATTCTTTTCTACATTAAAAGTTTCAGTTATTAACAGCTTTGAAAAACTGCAAATCATTCTTACTTACATCTGGAAGTCTGTACAGCTTCATTGTTCTCTGCAAAGTCATATTTCTACTCAAGTGAGAAAATTTCACTTCTACCAGTTTTCTGGGGTTTAGTGATCGATGCCAGTATCTGGAATACAATACAGATTTTAAGATCTAATCGATTTCTAACTCTCCAAGTTTTTAACCTTTGTCTAAGCTCAGCTGTTATAGAAGCAGTGAATGAACACTTATGTTGGGCCCAGTGCTGGCCCTCTTCCTATGCAATTATTTTATCTGTCATTTTTGACCTCTAAATGATGTCCCAGTTATGTTCCTTTGTTGTTTGTAACTGTCCATCTCTTTCAATAAAGAGAAATCTTAGAATTGCAGAAGGAATATTGATAATGCTCAGTCTATAAGTATTGAATGAGCATCACAGATTCTAAGATGGCAAACCAAAAAGTTTAAAAACACAAAAAAACTCTCCTTAAGTTTAGTAGCCTTCACATTTATATAATGCACACCAGACAACTTTTTGAAAAACAAGCTTGAATTTCTTAAGTGTTTCTAGTTTAGATACTCAGATGAATGATTATATTAAAATAACACCTGTGAAGTCTTATTTATTCTGTTTATTTATGAATAAGTTAATAGGAGAGAGTCATTTTACAGTTTTGTCTTTTATACTCTGTTTTCCTGAAGTTTCATCTTATTTGAGTCAATAAAAATAACAGAGGGAGATAAACTCTTTCTGATGCTCTAGGAACAGGTTATTCAAGTGACAATCTGATAAACAATTTTCTTACTAGATTAACCTTTGAAAGCTTGATAAGAGCAGATGAAGAAATAAAAACAGCTTTAGCGGGTTTTTCAGCTGATGTTTATCAAGCTTTCGGAGTAGCTCCTGATAGCACTGGTGTGACAGTGAGTGTTAGAGAAGGAAAGAAAATCGTACTACAGGGCATCTCGAGGTAACTGATGCCCTGGGTTTCCCAAGGCAGAGACTATTCTTTCAAATGGAAGAGACAAAGAAATGGAGATGTAGCACCATTAGTATACACGTGACTGTGGGGTTTACTGCGAGAATACTGGGCTAGTGGTTCTTGGTTCCATCTCCATCTCTGCTACCCACCAACCATATCATCACGGGTCAGCCAAAGTCCCTCTGGGTTACGCGGGTGGAGAATAATACTTGTTAGCAACATGGCAGGGAGGCTCAAAGCGTTAGGTACAGGTGACGTGCAAGATAAAGGTGGGACGCTATTACCTGCATGTGGCCACTGGCTTGGGAAGAACCACTCCAGCAGTATAAACGGCCTGGAAAATCCCTTCCAGGTTCACTCTTCTGGTTATTTCTCGAATCAACACTGGGGCTACCCGTTTGGATCTCAATTTCTTATGAACACAAAGGAAGTTGATTTCGACCATCTTCTTCACGCTAAGAAATAAAGGTGTTGAAAATTAGAGCCACCGTTAAGACGAAAACATTTTCAAAAAACAAGACAACACCTATAACATTTCAAAGAATGAGAAACTGAAAGCCCTCCTTTAACACAATATGTAAGAAAAATATTCTATCTTTTAGATATTTCACAGATTTAGCTATTTTCCATACTCCCCCACCAAAATGATCAAAACTCCAGGCTGTGGAGAAGCAAACCCTCTTGTTCCAAATAAATTTGAGAACTTTGGTCTCTTCTGAATTTTCAGTGTAGAAACTGGATCAGCTGTGCCTCAAAGTTTCTATATCTGTTTTTCCTGTAATGTATACAGTTACGACAAAAACTGGGTCACCCAGATGCAGAATCTAATAGGCCGTTGCTTTGGAGCATAATGCAATACCCAGGATCCCTGGGAAGTGCCTCGACCAGGCCAGAGCTGGTGCTTTTCTGAGCGACCATAAACCTTCTAGAGCTCCAAAGCCCATCCTCTGCTCTGGTTCCAGATACAGAGGCATTTCATTTGGCACAAAATATTCCTTGAGATCAAATGCTTTTTAGCAGTAAATAAGCTCACCCAGTACATTGAAAGGTGAAGAGGCCTATTACGCATTAGACCTTCGCGTTTCATAACTGTATCTTTGACTTTCTGGGCTGAAGACCCAGAGCAAAAATGGAACAGACATATCTGTGGATAGAAAGACTTAAAAAGAATCCCTTGAGTAACTTTTTTCCCCAGAAACAAATCTGAAATACCTATTTACAGTTTTGTTTTTTCTGCTACGGACATATATACATACCTGTGTGTGCATGTATGAGACTGAGAGGCAGAGACAGAAAAAGAGATAGAGAAAAATACAGCTCTTTTTTTTTTGGTCACTGTTCACAACCTGTATTTTATGAATTATTTTTAACTTTATTTTTTAGAGCACTTTTAGGTTCCCAGCAAAACAAAGCAGCAAGTACAGTTTCCATACACCTCTGCCCTCCCCACGCACACAACCTCCCTCAACATCAGCAGCCTGCATTCAGTCATTTCAAAAAACCTATTCTAGGGGATTCCCTGGCGGTCCAGTGGTTAGGACTCCGCGCTTCTACTGCAGGGGCCGCGGGTTCCATCCCTGGTTGGGGAGCTAAGATCCCACATGCTGCGCGGCACGGCCAAAACCAAAAAAAAGCCTATTCTAACCACAATTCTTGGAGAAGCAATGTATCAAAACCGACAAGCTTCACTATGTACCTGTCGTAGATCCGAATGTTCGCGGGAATGGCGCTGATGAACCCCACTAGCTTTTTGTTCGAAGATACCCTGACTCCACAGTGCCACTGGAGGAGCCAGCCTGGGGGACGCAGAGCCCTGAAGTCAGTGCAGGCAAGGAAAACAGATGCGGTGAGTGTCCAGGAACACAGGGACAGACAGAGACAGGCCGACCCCCCCTCGCCCTGTCCCCAACAAGCACACGTGACCGGCGAGACTCACCACAGCAGGAACTCGGGCGAGTAGTCAAAGCGGAACATGTTGTCGTCATCCTCCACGTAATTCTCATTCAGCAGCGTGTACAGCTCCCTGAGCTACGAGACCAAACAAGCGTCCTGCCTGTGATGCTTGGGACCAGCGCAGAAGCAACCCATGCCAAGTCGGGGACCGAGGTCGAAGGTTTTACTCACCACTTCGGCGTTACCCAAATCTAAAGTGTCCCACATAAAACCCTGCGGCAGGGAATACGGTTCTTGACGCACGTTTTCTTTATCAGCTTCAATTGCGCCATGAGATGTTATTACTTCATCTGGGACAGGGAGGAGGGGAAAAATAAAGACAAAAAGAGAGACGATTCAATTACAGAGTGTCCTGACGATCCAAAATGGTCAGTTACAGGAAACAAAGGCGTGCTTAGGGCTCTAGAGTTCCACATAATCCTTAAAAGTACTGTATCGTTTCAGCTGCTGCCAGCGCGAAGCAGGGTGGTTACACAAGGTGGAGGGTAACTGCTAGTGGACCAGTTACAGGAGAAATCCTCTGTCATCCACTGGCAAACTGGACATTACGAAACAATGGTGACTTCTCAGTCTGAACTCCTAGATTACAGATTAATCATTCAGCACAACTGCCGGCGACACAGGCTTGATGTGACCGCCTTAGAGATGTTTTCTGTTTAACTGCTTTTTCAACCAACGGGGGGCAAGGGCTGCAGTGACCTGACCCTTCCCAGCAAAGTTCAAAATTAATTTCAGGACTGTTTACTTCTGTCTAGGTTGCTGGCAGCACAGTTCAAGCCATCAGTGTCTCCAGCGATTTCCACAAAGGCGCCCTTTCCCACTTCTTCCTCCGGAGCTTCCCAGTGAGGTTGGGATAAAATCCAGGCCCTTGACCGGGGCCACTGCTTGCCTGGCCACCGTCGACACATCTACCGAGCCCTGCCCTCAGGGCTTCGGGCCCACTGCCTTCCCTTGGACTGGGCCTCTGCCCAGAAGGCCTGTCCCCGGTCTTTCACACGGCTGGCTGCTGGCATTTTTTCAGCTATAGCCTTACACATAATGTCTTCACAGCATCCTCCCCGACTAAAGCTTCTTCCTACGTGGAGTATGTCCTCACCGCCCGCCCACCGTTTATCGTACTTTCCTACCACTGTTTCCCGGGTCTGCGCCCCAGTGCCTGGCATTTAGTGGGAGACACTCAATGAATATCTGAATAAATGAGCTTCAGGTACAGTTATTACCATCACAGACCTTTCACAGGGGGCAAGTCACAGGGTTTGTACCAGCCCCAAGGGGTTTCTTCTTCTCTATTTCCTAATCCCTAACTCTGCACGTTCATCTTATCTCCACTCCACCGGCTCATCCCCAAGTGAATACCTCAGGCTCCAGGGTCAGCCCTAGAAGCCAGATTCCCAGCTGTTCCCCTGGGGTTCCTTGAGAGTTGCTCAGGGCTTGTCTGATCCACATAACAACACCAGGGGCCCACCCCACGCAAGCAGCTCCAAGCAGCTGGGTGTGTTTGACTGAACTGGGACATGGCTCTGGAGAGAAACGAAGAGGCAGAGTCTCCCTGACTTTCAAACATTCTCCCCGACCTCAGGCTCCCTCTTCCACCATTAACCTGGTGTTGCCTTAATTGAGGTATGTAAAGAACATTCTAGGAACCCGAGAACACTGCAGGGATTTAGGGGAGGGGCCAAAACGAGGTGAGCAGCGGGGAAGTCTTCCCAAAGAGGTGCGCTGGGGTGAGGTGCCAGCTGGAAGAGAATTTTCTCCCCTGGGCACTGACCCAAAAGCCCCCAGCAGAATTTAGCCAAACCCAATACATTCAGATCAATAAATCTACACCCCTGTAGCTAATGGTCACTCAACTCAATGTCATTTAAAATCCAGCAAATTCATTCTAGAAGGTCTTCCTCCACTACCAAATAATTTCTAGAGCCTGAAAGGAAAAAAATCAAGCAAAGATAATTTCTTTCTTCTTTCTTTCATGCTCTGAAGCTCACGATTTTGAAGCTGCTTGGCGTGGGCATGGGTGGAAAACGAAAGGTCACTTTTAAAAAGTTTGAAACCCATTATTTGAAGGCACAGAGAAGGACTGTTCCTTGCTTTATATTTGTTAAAACTGATTATGTGTACATAACTGGGCTAATAAGAGTTTGGGATGGCAATGAATACCTTCTATTATACAGATTTTGAACTGGAACTATCAAGGAAGAAAAGTATGGAAATAATATATGGAAATATGTATCTTCATATAAACGTACGACAAAGCAGCAGGTTTAGCTTGTAATACATTGAAAAACATTTTTATACATTTATATCATTTTTTTCTGGCATAATGTGCAAGAGTAACAATGAAATTATTAAGTTTCTTTATTAATTATTAATTTAATAATTATTAAATTATTAAGTTTACAGAACCTTAAGTGGTAAAAGTTTAAGTGAAATGTGATGGAGCAAGCCGGGCACTGAGGGAAAGAGGCCTATTACAGATTTCTACACGACCCAGAGCACTTATGAAGGCCTTCACGGGGTGTCCCAATTCGCTTATTATACTGGAATGTTATCACATTGGTAATAATTAACAACATGGGTGAGTGTTCAGAATCCTATTGTTAAACAGAGCAAAATTTTCCATTTCAGTAAGATTTAATAGGGCAAATTTTCTATGTTTTTTGGGATAACTGAGGTGTGAGATTGCTAAAAATTTATGCAGAAGAAAAACCACTCCATGAAGATCAGAACCAAAAAACTGGGGGTGGGTGAGACCCCTCTTATATACATATATTTAATACACTAATGTTTGAAGTGTGGGGAAATTAGATTTCTTTATAGGGACAGGAGTTAGATTAAAATTGTTGTTACTGAAAGCCAATGTCGCCACCCAACACTTATTTTAAGAAGAAAAATATGACTTTTGTATAAATTTCGAATCTGTGGTCTAAAACAAATCATATAAGTGAAGTCAAGTCTCTTTTGTGTTTTTTTGTTTGTTGTTAACCCAGCTTTGTTTTTGGGGGGAAAAGGCAGAAAAGCTTACTTAGTTTGGGTACCGGCTGTGTGTCCCAAAACTGGTATCTGTGTTTGGCAGCCTCATCAATGTTCCTGGCGGGGCCCTGGCATGCGGATAACAGCTCCATTGCCCTCTGGATATCCTGCAACTTCTGCATTGGAATGGTGGGATTCTACAACAGCAAAGACACACAGACACAAAATATGAGGAAGCTGCCGCTGCTCCCAAACCTGGGGCAGGTCCACGTGCACCTGCACTGGAGACTACACGGCGTTCACTGGAGAAACGCACAATCCTCCTCTAAGTCTGGCCCTTGGGCTCAAGTATGCTAACGTATTAAAATATAAGCAAACGTATTAGGTTGAAGGCAACAACAGTCCTATAGCTTCAATGGGGCTCTGACAGTCTGGGACCTCTCAAGTAAACCGAACCACTCTGCTTCAGTTTCCCACCCATCTGCAAATGGTCCTCGGTCCTCACCACTAATTACTCGTGTGGGCGGAGCAGCAGAGAGGAGTGCCCTGCAATGCAAATGCTACTATCATACAGCAGCCAGCCAGACTCCAGCCTCGGCTTCACTGTTGGGGTTAATGCTCGGGAGGAGCAACGTGGGGACAAAGGAAATAACTTCTAGAACGGAAACCAGGCAGACGAGGGAAATTTTAGTTCATAAAAAGAAAGAAAGAGGGGGCTTCCCTGGTGGCGCAGTGGTTGAGAGTCTGCCTGCCGATGCAGGGGACGCGGGTTCGTGCCCCGGTCCGGGAAGATCCCACATGCTGTGGAGCAGCTGGGCCCGTGAGCCATGGCCGCTGAGCCTGCGCATCTGGAGCCTGTGCTCCGCAACAGGAGAGGCCGCAACAGTAAGAGGCCCGCGTACCGCAAAAAAAAAAAAAAAAGGAAAGAAAGAAATCTGAACTTAGTGCCGGGCTGGGAAGGAAGTGCATCAAAAAAGGACTCTCTAAGGATGCCTCCTCCTGGACCACACCCCGCCCTCTGCCAATCCTGACACCCCCTCCAGAGGCCACGAGGATTGAGTAGTTTCCTCTATGGATTCAGATCTTCTGCAACCATAAAAGCCTTTTCTCCCCAACCCAAGTGGTGGAAACAACCTCCCTTTTAAGTAATACGTATCCTCCGTCTATAAAATTGACAATGCCTTTAAATACTAAAGTTCCTTCCTCAAAGCCAATATTCCTGTCATCTCTGAAGATCCCGCAGCTCTTTTTTTTTGGCGGGGGGGGAATCCCTCATGGAAAATGAGAGACTATAACTGAAATGGGCAAGTGGCATGTAGGACTGAATATGGAAATCAGTGAGGTTTTTTCAACGTGTGAAATTATTGATTTGTTTTAGAATTTTGATGCCATACAACGAATGCTCTTCACCGTGGGTTCAGAATTGGTTAGAAGGAGTCTCAGAGTCTTCGGTTTCCCTGTATGTCAACACCATGGGCACCAAGGAAAGGTACCATCAACCCTCAATGGTTTATTAACAGCAGCTTTGGACTTCTGTTCCGTTTTGACTCTGAAGTCTGTGGTCTGGAGCAAATCTTTGAACCTGGGAAGTTTGCTTGTTTGACCCAGTACAAAACAGGGTTTATTTAATACAGACCATCCTGTGGTGGCTTTACTCACTGGGTTCCCTTAAGATTCTTGCCCCTAAAATGATTCCAAGAAACAAAGTGCTGGAGTCTAACCAGAGGTAGGTTAAAGTCTTAATGTCTCCTCTTGGAAGTCTAACAGCCTCACCTAGGACTGCCACAAATTCTGTAAGCCGTTCATCTTATATTTTGATTGAGGTCTGAATCATCAGGTTCATATATATCAATTACACATACTAATTTAACAAAATAATTTTGTTGTTCTAATTTACTCTATTTTTATATTTCTCTTGTTTGGGCCTCTTTTGAACCTCCCACACAAAAGTAACTGATTTCTAGCAAAATGAAATTTACATTCACTTGAACTCCCAACAGTGCAATCAACTAGGAGATCTGCAACTTACATAGGGTGAGAGCACAGCTTATTTCAGCTAGTAATGCTTGAACATGCACCCCTTTAACTTAAAATAGGCCAAGTAGAACCCAGTCTCACAAAAATATACCTACAGTATCTGCACCGAATTTGCCATGGTAACCCTTCTTTCCTGCTATTTGAGTTAAATCCTCTAACAGGGCTATATCAAACTCCAACCCTTTGGTAACAAACATGCATCAGCATCTTTGTTCCAAAGGAGCCAATGATGGTACCCCGTCTGCATGAAGAAGCCTTCAGAGTGGTTTCTGCCTTGGCAGGTTGACCAGCAGTCCTTACATGAAATCACCATTCATGAAATAGTCATATTTAAATGCTCGCTATTAAATGCTTTCATTTTTTATTGAAGTTAGGTTGATTCACAATATTATATTAGCTTCAGGCGTACAATATAGTGAGTCAATATTTTTTTTTTTTTTTTTTTTGCGGTACGCGGGCCTCTCACTGCTGTGGCCTCTCCCGTTGCGGAGCACAGGCTCTGGACGCACAGGCTCAGCGGCCATGGCTCACGGGCCCAGCCGCTCCGCGGCATGTGGGATCTTCCCGGACCGGGGCACGAACCCGCGTCTCCTGCACTGGCAGGCGGGCTCTCAACCACTGCGCCACCAGGGAAGCCCCGTGAGTCAATATTTTTATAGATGATACTCAAAGTAGATTCAAGTAAGTACAACTTTCAAATCCATAGCAACAGAGCAGTAAGGAAAACTCAGCTATGATAAATTCTTAAACCTATCTAATCACCTACCAGAGCAGCACCACACGGGGTGTTTGGAAAGGCGAGAATGTGTACTGACCCCGCATTAGCCTCCCACTATCATATTCTGGTGTAAGAGTCGGACACGCCTCTTTTCCTCCATATCTGCTCCTTGGGAAATACTAAACACCAACTGTACTCTTTGCCCACTATTTTCCAATTTAATACCTTGGAAAAAATGTTCAAGTCCTTCATCACTAAGAACCCAAATATTTTATTTTGGTTCTTGAGCATAGACCGCAATATTCTCTAAACTGAAGAATCTCTAAAGGTCACTGTAAATGACGGTGTTATGTAGAGCTGACATCAGTTTCAGGGAAAGGAGCCGCAGTTTTTAAAATGCAGTGAAAAGCCAACATTAAAACAATTTTGACTTAGTCTTCATGAAAAAAGAAAAGAATTTCTCTGCCATATCATGGTAGCAGTTCCTCCTGCCTTGCTTGGCTGTAGTTTCTTTTTCTTCTTTTTTTTTTTTAAATTCCAACCACCCACTCATTTTATTTTTTAATTTTTAAAAATTTATTGAAGTATAGTTGATTTACAATGCTGTGTTAATTCCTGCTGTACAGCAACGTGACTCAGTTATACATATATGTATTTTTTTTCGTATTCTTTTCCATCGTGGTTTATCACAGGATATTGAATATAGTTTCCTGCGCTATACAGTAGGACTTTGTTGTTTATCCATCCTACACATACTAGTTTGCCTCTGCTAATCCCCAATTCCCACTCTGTAGTTTCTTGTAAGTGACCAGAGGCGGGGGAAGGGCCTAAATCACCAGGGGTACAGGGCTGGGCAGCAGCTGATGGTGACGACAGAAAGAACAAGGAGACGGTCACAACTGCATGTAAATGACACCACATTTGTCTGATGAAGCAACGGTGAGAAATGGACAAGATATCTTGCCAGCTTACGGTGCACCTTATATGAGTTACCTTGGAACTTATGTCTGTGGATAGACTATTTATTACCAGAGAAGCAAGTTGAAAAGCTAGTGAGGGAAACTGCACTTTATTCTCACCCCACAAAGGCAATCAGGGAAAAATTGGGGCAAGGAATTTTCCTTCCCAGTGATTCCTGGTCCTTATGTGTAAAACAGGCAACAACGACAACAAAACTACCTGCAAGACTCACTCAATGTCATAAGATGTAAAGTTTGTGCAAGAAAAAAACCTGAGACCCCACAAAACTGGCGTAACGGTAACAACTGCCATGTATACACAGTGCTCCGCAGCAGAGGTCCCATCCCCCAGGGCCACGGACTGGTAGCGGCCCGTGGCCTGTTAGGAATTGGGCTGCACAGCAGGAGGCGAGTGGCGGGCGAGTGAGCGAAGCTTCATCTGTATTTACAGCCGCTCCCCATCACTCGTGTTACCGCCTGAGCTCCGCCTCCCGTCAGCATTATGGTGAGTTGTATAATTATTTTATTGTATATTACAATGTAATAATAATAGAAATCAAGTGCACAATAAATGTAATGCGCTTGAATCATCCCAAAACCATCCCCCCGGCCCTGGTCCGTGGAAAAACTGTCTTCCACGAAACCGGTCCCTGGTGCCGAAAAGGTTGGGGACCGCTGCTTTACATGGTATAAAAACCACGTTATAAAGATGGTCTGATTGTGACCTCATTAACAGCCTATGAGCTGGGAAGGAGGCATGTCCCCAAGCTGCAGATAAAATGAGCTTAAGGAGGGGCAGAGCCTGGCAAAGGCTCACAGCTTGAGAGCTTTGGGGCAGGACCGAGCTCCTGCCATGACACCACGCACTGCCCAACTTACTTGGAGCTACAACAATCAGATGACCTCTGCTTTGTTATGCTTCTAACTCTACCCCTTTTCGCTGTGAGTTTCTGGCATCGAGGGCTCTGTTTCCTTGGGCCCAGCACACGAGGTCTCTGTTCACAGCCAGGATGATGGGTGGCCCCAGGGAAGTGGCGCCTGGCACTGGCATCTCCAGAAGCATACAGAGATGCAGGGCCCAGCAGGACCACTTCTGGTTTGGTCCAAAATGGGTTACTTCCTACCCTTGGCAATAGAATTAAGAATGGCCACTGCAGACTGGTCCAAGGCAAAGTCAACGTGAGACTTACCCATGGTTGCTCCTGCTGAAACCTGCTGCCAGATGGTGCTGTGCTATTCAGGTAATTAGACACCCAGAAAAATGAAAATGTGAATATCTTCTGAACAAAAGGGAATCAAATATTAAGTGTAACTACAAAAAAACCCCCCAAAAAACCAGAAACAAAAATCTAACAAGGTCACCGTGAGACTTTCTTCTATGACTACAACCTATGTACTAATTCACTGAGAAAGGGGGGATGTGGGCAGAATACACACACACATAGAAGCCCAGCACGGACCTCTTAGTTTTCTGGGTGCCAACGTCAGTCCTGGGAAGGCTGTAAATACTCTGCTGTGACCACACAGTACACAGTCACGGCAACATCCTAACTACACCTCTGAGCCAACAGGGCACTCGCCTAAGCTGCCCAGACCCGCTTTCACACACATGGGACACCACGGAGGTTAAAAGAAAACATGGTTCTCACTTTTGAAGGCGGCTGAATTTTAATCTCCTGGGAATCAGATGCCGAGTCTGACTTGGTGCCTCCGGAATTCGGTTTCTCCTTTTTTCTCTTCTGTTTCTTCTTTTTCTTTTTGGCACCCAAATCACCTCCGGGACTCCTGTTAGGAAATTCACAGGGTTTGTAAAAACAACAACAGGTCATTATGTAAAATCTGAATTGCATGAAATTAATCATTTAGGAAAAACACATGTTATACACAGGAGGGAAAAACTACGTTAGGATGTGCAATATTCTGATTGATAAAAATATATATATATTTGCAGATGACCAAAATATATATTTTTCATCTATATTTGGTCTTGATCCATGGTTCCTGGGTCACAGCTTCCAAACCCCTTGGAGTTTCCTAAAAGATTAGAACTTTAAGGTATGTGTCCCTTATGTCATGTTAAGAAGGTCACTTCTCGAAGCACCTAAGGATGGGGGCAGGTCGCCAGGGGAGCCAACCCTGTGATTAGAGGGCTGGAATTTTCAATCCCACCTCCCTGACCTCCGGGAGGGGAGAGGGGCTGGAGGTTGAATCAAACACCAATGGCCAATGATGTAACCAATCATGCCTATGTAAGGAAGCCTCCATAAAAACCTAAAAGGATGGGGGTTCAGAGAGCTTCCAGGTTGGTGATTTCTCTCCACGTGGAGGTTTGGGGACAGTGGCGCCTGGAGAGGACACGGAAGCTCTGCGCCCCTTCCCCACACCTTGCCCTGGGCACCTCTTCCATCTGACTGTTTCTGAGTTACATCCTTTTATAATAAACAGGTGATCTAGAAAGTAAATGTTTCTCTGAGTTCTGTGAGCTGCTCTAACAAATTGACCGAATCTAAGGAGGGGGGTCTTAAATCTGTATCCTGGTCAGAAGCACATGTGACAACCTGGGTTTACACCTTGCAGGGGTCGGGGGGGGATAGTCTTGTGGGACTGAGCCCCTAACTTGTGGGATCTGATGATGCCTCTGCATAGACGGTGTCAGAACTGAGATGAATTTCAGGACACCCAGCTTGCATCTGAGAATTGCTTGGTGCTATGTGGGAACCCTCCACCCCTACCTCCCCACTGGAACAGGGTCCAGGAACCCAGAAGAATATTAGTCTACGCTCAGTCATCCTGCAGGGTGCTTAGATGTCATTTAAGCAGGAAAACTGTAGCAATAAACTCTATTTTATCACCAAAGTCAAATAGCTTTCACAGGTATCACAGCTCCACTAACTTACTTTTAAATCAGCCTTTTCAGGGAGAGATACATGTCATAAAATATTCCATTATAAACATCTCTTGGGCACAACAAACCACTAATCTTGACACAAGAGAACCAAAGAAAGGGCATCTCTGCAGGGGGTGGCATTTTTCCTGATAAAGATTTTTATTAGAAGGATTAACAATAAAAAGAACTCTACAGGAAAAAAAAAAGTTCACTGGCAAAACATTTCTGTTTGGAACCCTTGTCATATTAGAGCTGTAATCTTCTGAAAGAGAAAAAGAGACACAAGGAGATTTAAAATTTCCTTTTCTTTGGGCCTACTCTCCCACAGTATTCCCAGAAGGTAAATTCAAATTTTGAGTCAGAGATTATTATTGCATTATCCCCTGATGCAGGGAAAAGTGATGGAAATAAGCAATTCTGTTCTATTGTTCTTAATTAGCTCTATCTGTTCCTATTTTCTTTCTTGAATTTTTGCCTAATTATCAAATACATATTCATTATATAAGACACAAAGGTCATTAATTAACAGCCTTATAACAGTGTCCCTCAAAGGCAGCCAATAGTTCTTCTGGTATAAATTCTTCTAAAATAGCCTTTCTTCTCTAAGCATGCCTTCATTTTTACTACGAGTAAGTTTTCAACAAAAATTGAATCTTAAACACACTATTTTGAAACTTGGCTCCTTTTCTCCTTCCACTTAACAAATGTGTCTTGGATTTCTTTCTTTCCATGTCAGGATATATTGAGCTACCTCATTTCTTTTTAGCAACTGGGTAGCATTCCATTGTGTCAGTATATCATATTTTATGTAACCATTCCTATATAAAATATGCTGCTGCAAAAAAATATTCTGGTACTTACATCTTTGTGCATTCATGCTAGTTTGTCCAAAGGTGGAAATGTGAGGTCAAAGGGCATGCACATTTTTAGTTTTAGTGGATAGTTAAGCCTGCTTTACTAAATACTATTCCAGTTTCCACTATACCAACAGTAAATCAGTTTCTGGTTCTGAATACAAGGAGCTTGGAAGTCACCACTCCATCCCAGCAGACTGAAAAGTCAACAGTTCTTCTGAGATCCCTAAGGGTGGGAGGCAGGGACACAGGAAAAACTGCTGCCCCCAAGATTGGAGAGACAGCTTCTGGGAGCAGAGACTCACGTGTGGAAACCTCCATGGGAGCCAGCGCTCAGGCAGGAACCCCTGGACCGCAATTCACAGAGCCCTGGAGGCTACATGTGAACAAGACCCAGAGCTAGGAGCCCAGTCACAGGGGTCTCCCACGCTTTAGTGAGTTTTACCCTCAGGAGCGCAGTCAGGTTCCCACAGTAGAGAGCAGAGAAAAATCCCCTCATGCTTCTGGTAGAGGGAGGGGAAGAGGAATCATTTCTGAAAAATGCCAGACGTTCTGTGCTTCTTAACAAGGTCTGTCCTCAGCAGAAACTAGTCAACCAGAGCCTAAGCAGCTGGGCTACGGTCAGAGTTTAACTAATCTGGGGAAACGAAATACCTGGCTCCAGCCCCCGTTAACCATCCTGTTCACATTTGTGAGCTCACAGTCCAGAGGCGCAGGCTCACTAAAAGACTGAGGCCGGATCACAGGACCCCTCAATGCCTCCCGCCCCACACGCCTCACCACCGCATGACCAAAGGCCTACTTACAGCAGTTCCTTTCACCCAGGACATCATGTCTGGCTATCAAGAAAAACTACAAGGCATTCCAAAAGGCCAAAAACGCACTTGGAAAAGATACAGCAAGCATCAGAGCCAGACGTGGCAGGGATGGTGGAAGGATCAGGCCTGGGATTCGAAACAACTCTGATTAATATGCTAAGGGCTCAAATGGACAAAGTAGACAGCACGTGAGAACAGACAGGCGATGTAAGCAGAGATGGAAATCCTAAGAAAGAACCGAGAAGAATCAAAAACGCTGCGACAGAAATGAAGAATGTCTTTGATGGGCTTATTGGTAGACTGGACGTGGCTGAGGAAAGAATCTCTGAGCTTGAGGATATAGCAGTGGAAACCTCAGAGACCCCCCTAAACCTGAAAAGCAATGAGAACAAAGATGGAAGAAAACAGACGGAACATCCGAAGACTGTGGGAAAACTACAGAGAGTATAACATATGTGTAATGGGAGAACCAGAAGGAGAAGAGAGGAAGAAATGGAAGAAATACTTGACACAATAATGACTGGGGATTTCCCCAAGTCAAAAGCAGGTGCTAACCCACAGGTCCAAGAAGCTCAGAGAACACCAAACAGGATAAATGCCCCTAAAATGGCATCTTGGCAAATCATTCTCAAGCTACAGAAAATCAAAGATGAAAAGAGCCAGAGAGGAAAAATTACCTTACCTGTAGAAGAACAAAGGACCAAACAGTAAATGAGAACAGCAATTTCCCTATGTCTTTGCCAGCACTGAAATATAACCATTCTTTTTCATACCTGACAATCTGATAGGTAGAAAAAAATTTCACTGTAGATTTAATGTTCCTTTAGTTAACCAGGGGTGAGGCTACATATCTTTTTTTAAAAATAAATTTATTTTATTTATTTATTTTTGGCTGCGTTGGGTCTTTGTTGCTATGCGTGGGCCTTCTCTAGTTGCATGAGCCAGGGCTACTCTTCACTGCGGTGCGAGGGCTTCTCATTGCAGTGGCTTCTCTTGTTGCGGAGCACAGGCTGTAGGCACGCGGGCTTCAGTAGTTGTGGCACGTGGGCTCAGTAGTCGTGGCTTGCGGGCTCTAGAGCGCAGGCTCAGCAGTTGCGGTGCACGGGCTTAGTTGCTCCGCGGCATGTGGGATCTTTCTGGACCAGGGATTGAACCCGTGTCCCCTGCATTGGCAGGCGGATTCTCAACCACCGTGCCACCAGGGAAGCCCTACATATCTTTTTATATGTTTACAGAGCATTTATATTTTTCCACGAATAGCACATTCATATTCTTTTTCCATTAGCCATCTTAAAAAACAATGATTTGTAGGTGCCCTTTATAAAAGCATGGATAGAACTTGTCATTTATTAAGAATTTTTACTTTGGGCACTTTAATCTCATTTAATCCTCACAACAGGCCTATGAGAGATACTACCCTCTGCTTATATTCCATTGCCTAGTTTGTTGTCTATTGTTTAGACTGTAAATACACAGTTTAGTTTTTAGCATTCCACTTAATTTATGGTATTTTTTCCTGTACAGACAATTAAAAATTTTATGGGGTCTAATACTTAAAATTTTTCCCTGTGGTTTTTTGGCTTTCAAATCTTGCTTAGAAAGTCTTCCCAATTCCAAAATTACGTAAGTATCCTTCTGTAACTTTTTCTCTTTTAGCTTTATGACTTTTGGGGAAAAATATTTAGCTTTCTAATTCATTTGCAATAAAGTGCGTAGAATGTGAAGTCCTGTATTCCTACTTTCCAAAAATACGTTTCAAATACAAGAAAGCCCCATTATAACATAGCTTGTTATTACAGGGGTCACACTGTAGCGCCCAAAGACTAACAAGCAGATATAATAAGAGAGGCGGAAGTGCCTACTCGTTGGATACGATTGCATGGCAAGGCCTTGTTGCCAGACACTGCTCCGGGTGCAAGCGGTTTCGAAATATGTCTGCCAATTCTTTGATGCTTCTCCCATCGAGAGGTGGGGGTCTCTTTCCCTCCTCTTGAGTCTGGGCAGGCTCGTCACTTGCTCGTAACGCAGTGTAAGTGACACTACATGACTTCTGAGACTAGGTCACAAAAGACCACGCACTTTCCACATGGCTCCCTTGGGATGCTCAAGTCTGGGGGCAGCCAGGAGCCTCGTAAGAGGTCTGACTGCCCTGAGACCACCCGCTGAAGCCACGGGAGGGAACCCTCATGAATGCCCAGCGTGGTCAGGTCTGCAGAAGACTCCAGC